AACTGTAATATTCGAATGGATATACGCAATGACTGATAAAGAACTTTTCGTTCTCATTCTACACCTTTCAGTTTAATACTTCAATGGCGTTCTTCTTGTTCTCATACCAAGTGCACGAGAAGTCCATACTCTTTCCTCTAATGTAAGTCTATGGTTTTTTCTTCACATGTTAATTTAGTACTAAAATTAGGCGTGGTAGAAAGCATCCCCTCAAACAAAACAACAACCACAGGCCGTATTTCAACTTTTACTGCAAGGTGTTGCTGTTGTAGACTCATAACTGGCTCTTATGAGAGAATAGAATACTTGGTCCGATACTGATTATGTTCTGCTCTATACTAAAACAGTGTTACATATACTTGCGTATAAAACATCGTCTCATCAAAAGGTCAACGATGAGTATTATGGTGATCAAAATTAAATTTCAAATTTTTTAGTTACATATGATTTGATCAGTTGATGCTTCAGTAGGCTAAAGTCAGATTGATTTAAAAACCTATATATAATAGAAATGCTTGTAATTTTCGTTATAAACATTATCTTTTGTTGGGTTTTCATTGCAGGGCTTTATCGTTGATAACGAACGAATATCCAGAGTTTATGCTGTACTTTACTGGTATAGCTTGTTTCAGTCTTGCGCCATTGCTAGCAAAGGACGGTTTGCTTCTAGCCTATGGCTCATTACTTACGCAGACGTGTCTTCTCATACACAAGACCCATCTCGAAGGAATTGCCGAACGACGCTGGAATAGGTTCTATCTTCTACGTATTATGGTGCGTGTGTTTCTGAATAAACAAGCTCTTGTACAATTTTTCTTTTTTCGCAACCTTACTTCAGTTAGTAGATAAATTGGGTTCGTAAAAGGCAGTTCTTAGTTTAATAATTGTGCCTTTAAAGTATTGCGTCGTATTAGGCGTCTGCTACGCGATATTTGTTTACAAACAACAAAACTGGTTTGGAAACGGATGTCATTTTGACATTAAAGCGACGTTCGGTTATTTTTCATCGTAAACATTGATTTGTGTAGATAAACCGAAAGTAAATAACAAGGCAAGCAATAATAGATATTATAACATAGAACAGCAAATAACAACAGCCTCGTCTTTCATTCACGTTTTACAGATGTTCTTATCGCTAATATCCGCCTGTCTGCTCCATTTAGCTGAAACATTTATAAGCCCACCTGCCAAATATCCTGAACTATTCGTACTTTTGAACTACGCGTTCAGTTTTGGCCATTTTGTATTATTTTATATCTATGGACACGTCGTGCAGTGGCGATACACCGGCGAAGCTTCTCATGCTGACTATACAGACAACCAGTATAAAATCAAAATGAAGGCTACTTAAATTGCCCACACAAAGGAAAAAATTGCACCAAAGATAATCAAAATTATATGGCTGACAAATCATTAGCTAGGTCGTCCAAAATTACAGGTTCGAAAACGCTCAGCCCGATCACCTAGGCACAGAGCATGAAAGGAATTTAATTTAATTGATGTTTGTAATACACGTATAATGAAACGCCCGTTAGGTTTCAATATGATCTTCTTCTCGCTTAAGTATATATAGTATGTGCGTGTAACAGAGATTAGCGCAATGTTGAACACTAAACATGTCGAAGATGTCGGCTACAATGTCACCTATGAAAACTCACTTTAATGATACGAATTCAAATCCTAAAGAGATTACGCGTCGATAATGTGGCCGGTGATTGTCGTAATTGGAGCACGTAGGTGCAATAGGGCCTCCAGCCCTTTTTATTTGTTGCGTATCGCGTGGAGTGTTGAAGTCCACTATGGACGTTACAGTGAAGCTATTTTAAGGTAACAATGACTGAATTTTTAAAGTTCAACTGATATTTTTTTATCAGACGATATTCGGTTTATTGAAATTGATTAAATTAAAATAAACATTTTGGTACAAGGAGTGCATTGTAAACGATCTTGCACATTCTAACCCAATGAATATTTAAATAATAGGTATTCATAACATTTTCGGAGCTGGAAGTACCGCCATGATACGATTATGCCCTTGACAGGCAACAGTTAGTCATGTTTTCAACAAAGCTTATAGTAGAGACAAAAGTATCGGCGAGGCTTTGTTAAAACTACGTATCAGCAATACTCTCAACTTAACTAATAATAGCCCAATTGAGACGCGTTTTAATCGATGCCGACCCAATGCTCGAAAACAGCTGCGGAAAAGAAAAATTACTACCGAGATACCTTGCTGGCTTGATTCAGACTTATTTAATGTTTTTACTGCTGCGTAGTAAGGCCAGAACTTAGAAATGGTGTGAAGTAAAAATCAATCTAGGGGGCGTATACGGGACGCGCCGTATTTCTGCTCAAGGCCAGTAAAACCTTCAAGATGCCTTATGCTTAGAAAAAGTGAGCTAAAGGTTTGAGAGAGTCGTATGTGTCTGGTGCCCGTTTGAAGCTATGGAAGCTTCTTCACAGAACGTGAATAAAGTCGTACCTGTTTGCATCGTTCGATGGAAAAGGATCGCCCATATCAAATGCTGTATTTTGTCTCTGTTTTTTGAACAAAAGCGACGAAATAAATGTACATATATAAACAAATTCAGTTCAATCAGTTGTAAATGGGTATAGCACTTGTACTTAGTAGAGGAGGTACATATTCCTAATATGAAGCAGTAACCAAATGATGGACTGTGTTTATTCAGTGAATAAAATGATCTTAGATCATCTTAGAGATGTAATTATTGGCACGGAGTACAATCGGTTAGTTTAGTTTAAGAGTACAAATTAGAGATAATCTATTTAACGTTTTGTTATTATTTTATTTCCGGGAAAGAAATAAAGTGACGTTCTCCTCAATTAGCGTTACGTTATTTCACTTACACCAAACCTTCATTTAGCGTAAGGTAAGCTTGTGTGTATCTAGTGACAGGCTACATGTCGCAACATCGAATTTCGTTAGTGTAAGCCTATTTTCCTGAAAATAGCGTATTTTGCAACATTGCGTATTTTGACAGCTTTTAATAACAGACCATGATAGTTTACTTCTTACGAACAAACCACCTTTACAATACTACCTATTTATCGTAATCTCATAAGAATGGCCTTAGGACCATCTGTACTTTCTGGGGTGATATTTCTGATCAATAGGAGTTTGATAATAAAAATATAGCTTTGATTTGTCCTGTGTAGTTAAATCAGATAGAATTCTAGATACCTAGATAGTGTTTTCCGCCTACCTTTATATAGTCTAATCTGCTGCAATTTAAAAACGGTTTATAAGAGACGACTTCTCTCTCTTTTTCGGTTACGTTTGTACGTATTGATCCACATCTCAAAACGCACGTCCTTCATTATATGTATAACGCTACCACCTTGATTTATCTTAAGCAAATTGAAGACGTTAGTTTTACAGGTTGCCACAGTCCGCACTTCAGCTGGAACAGCAAATGTGAGTATAGTATAAGCCCATCAAAAATATGCATTAGTTACATACAATAACGTACACGTAAAGCCAAAGTAAGGCACAGACAAAAGTGCAGCTAACTACTCTCCTACTTTATTTACACTGTTCTAGTTTTAGCTCTATATTTTAGCGTTAGTTTTCGTAAAATGGTTCACTTGAGGTCAACTATTTTTTTTTTTTTTATTATAATTTATAGAGAAAATAATTTCAGACGTAAATAAATATCAGGCTTTCTGTAGTGCTAGTGCACAGTCAATATAATAATTTTCATTTAACTGTTTGTAGTATTATATGTAGGATATGTATATTTCGGAATATAACTGTGTAAAATTTTCGTAGCTGCTACGAATTTTCGACGACATCTAATGGTTTTCGAGATTAAATGATGTACTGGTATTGTTCATTATCCGTGAAAATTCCGCCAATTTAGATGCCACTCGATGACAGCGCTGCAGCGCGAAGTTTCGTGTGTGTTCATTATTTACCTGTTGTAATTGTCCCATTTTGCTATTGATCGATATCACAAACAAACGCTTTTTCAAAATGTAACGTATAGGTACGTACAGGACTCAGCAGGTGCAGCTGTCACCCACCTATTATATGTATCAATATGAACATGGCTTCAGGATATTTTCGTAAAGACAAATTAATGCAAATAACAGACTTATAT